AAGGGTTGCCAATTAATAACAATAGTTGTCTTTTGTATGCTAATAATGTGAAAAATGCAATTAATGAAGCGTTACAATACTCATACAGAAAATTTCTCATTTGGTGGATGATGATAAGTATGAGAAAACATGAAGATGAATGCTAAAGGGCAAATACATAAATCTGTATGTACGTATGCACATTGGCAGGGCAATTTCGAATAAATTAATATTTTTTGAACGTTCGTAGCTTTTTTACACTTTTCATCATATCTACTTCATTTAGGGTTGGATCTTAAATTATGATATATCGATGTTCTTATCCGAAAGAGAAAATTTTTGGTTCCAAAGTTCATTGACCTCAAGTGACCCGTTCCAGTACTTACCCACCAGATCTCTGTTTCCACCACCCTAACATAGCATCCTAATGCCAGTAAATGAAAGCTTGTCAAAAATCATAAAACGTTTTCCAAGTGTTTTGATTATTCCAGTGCAACTATTAAAAAAAAAATTGCTATTGCCGAATATATGTAGGTATCACCGAGAGATGTAAAAAGCGACCGCTACCCTGCTTTGACGAAATACTTTAGACATACCCCTGATATCTTTTTTTTGCTTGTGAGGTGGATCGGCCTAATGTACAAGTATTTAAACGTACATAAGTAATTCATCGAGCTTATTAAATAACTTGAATGACACTTAATAAACACGTGGCAACCCTCTTCAAACATTCTAAATGTTCAAACTAAAGACTTCTTAACACTATTTCTCATGACATAATTTCATTTTATATAAGTTAACTAAATTCGAATTTTCAAACGGGTGGCAACCCTGTTCAAGATATTACCTTAATGAATATTCCAAATGTTTCACGTAAATCCGTCCATCCGATTCTGGATGAAGGGAGGTCTCGTATTTTCTCAAAATTTAAATCACCCAGTGCGGCTGAAAAAGTTTTAACTTTAAAAAATAAAACCTTAATGCACATATAGATTCAAAATGACGATGCTGATCTTAACCAAAAATGGTTAGTTTAAAAAATTTTCGCAAACCAATATTTCATTGCATTATGGAACACGATTTCATCATGAGACTGGCTTCGCATTACGTATCTTAATAACCTAATTCCTTTAGTTCAAACTGCATTCGATTTTTTAAAGAGGTGGCAACCCTCCTTCATATATTTAAGAAATAAAGCCTTTTCAAAATCATTTCAGTTGATACCCATATTGTACTAAATAATTTAGCTTTTTAAATATTTGACATATGCATTTTTATGTCGTTACACTTTGTTAAAGCTAGTTTCTAAGATAATTTGCCACCACACTGGCACCTTGAAGCTAAAGAATAATAAAAATAGAGTGCGCAGCTCATACAAAGCACACTCAGTTCAGTATTTACTTTACTTGGAAAGAAACACGTAATGTTCTCCCACTCGACCCACAAGCAGCGGCGAAAACGCTTTGTTAACACTTTGACATTACACTTACCATTCTACATATTCGCAACATCACCTTCCAGCTGATGCCATTATTAGCTGCTGCGAATCTTTAGTGCGATTTTTCTGTTTCACTCTTGACACTTGCCACTTGTGTACTGGCTTTGACGTGAAAAGCAGCTCCTTTAAAAAAAGGACCTGTTTAAAAGGTGTAAAGTGTAAGGAATTGTAGTTTATGTCGCCATTGCTGCCTTAGTTTTTTGACGTTTTACTCTTCAAGTGTAAGAGCTTTCTTTTCTTAAGATTCTGTGGCCTAAAGGTAGGTAATTGACTCTTTTATGTTTTTATATGTATGTACCCATAGAGCTATTAGCTATGTATGTACATTCTATTATTTTTATTGCATCATTTTGGTGCAACCTAAGTATGGGTAGCTAAGTCGACTAGAGTAGTTTTTCTTAGATTTTTTACTTTACACACACCTCGTTTGCCTCTTGAAGTTACAAACACACATTTAACTTAAGAGACTGAATGGGGCGTAAAAGCGAGCATACTTTCAGGTGCCTACAAACAAATGCCAAGTTACACACATAAGGGGTATTCTCTGAGTCTTGCAAAGCCCTTGCACGGTGCACAGATTGCACGGATTGCACGGAAAACCCCGGTTTTCGTATGGGACAGCTTTGCAAACCGTGCAATCCGTGCACCTTGCAAGGGCTTTGCAAGACTCAGAGAATACCCCTATAGATTAAAAAAAGCTATGAAAAATGCGTGTAACATTATTTTATTTAGTTGTAAGTTTTTTTCAAAAGTGCAACCAAAACAAGTCACACTTAGCTAGTACATACATCTGCATATCTGCATATGACAGTTATCATTTAATGGTTAGCAAAAACATCTCTGAATTAATCACAAATGAACTAACAACATTTTCCTATGCAACTTTGCTCATAAATTATGTAAATGCAGATTAGTGCAAATGTGCACATATACATGCATATATGCTCAAGTAGCACACTGGTGTATAAATTGGTGTAAATTTATGGATTTTGGTACAAATCTGATTAGATTGAATAAAAAAAGAACGTTTGGGTGTATTTGTTATTCCACCAGTATTTCTTTCAAATCAAAATTCTACCTTTAACATTTTGGTACTATTTACTCATTGAGATTAGTACGAAAACTACACCAGCGCCTAAAATGCGCCACTTTTTTCATTTGGTTTACAAATAGTTCCAAGTTAACAAATGTCGTTAAAATTATTCAGGCGACATTCTGAGTAGTGATGTGCTGAATTCTCGGTACCCAATACTTGAAAAAAATTTATTTCGGTACCCAATACTTCCTTTTCGGTTCCCGATACCGATTCGACACACTAAACTTTCGTCATTATATCTGTGCCGTTCAATTAAAGTAGCTTAGGTCACTGCGGGTAAAAATTATTGATATTTTATAAGACATCGCCAAAAACCCAAAATGTACAAATAAGACGGTCCTTTCTCAAGAGATGAGCAATGTGTTTGTATGTATGTAGTTAAGTGAAGCAAGTATAATGTGTGCGTCGAACAAAGCAGGCAATTAAATCTGCACAATAATAATCAAGGCGAATTTAATAAGGTGGTGTTAGCCGTATATAAGTAAAAAATTACACTTACAAATTATACACTTACACATTACATTACAAATTATATAACTCATATTTTTGGCTGTTGCGCGCTTTTATTAGAAATTCCAAGATTTCGGTACCGAGCATCGAAAGTATTTGATACTTTTTAAATCGGTACCGAGTATCGATCAGTACTTAAAAGTAGCGATTCAGCACATCACAAACTCTGAGAGCAATTGACAGTGGACCAAAGAATTCACCAAAAAATGAATATTGAATACACCACACAGTAGCTTTGTTTCTTTACAGATAGGCGCATTTACACAAGGTAGTGTTAGCCGAATATAAGTAAAAAATTACAAAAGCAAATTACAAGAAACACATAATTTTCACGATATGCGGTGAAAAATTCAGCTGTTGCTCCAACATTAGAGAGATTAGGCACAGCTACTTTGATTTGCTTCTTTTACATATTTTTGTATTTTTTGATAAAAATGGGCGATTTATTAAATTTGATAAAGTGTGGCAAAACCTGAGTATTTGTGAACAATTTTTAAACATAAAATGCGATTAAAAATTCGCAGCAAATACATATGTTCAGTTGTCAAAAGCATCGGTCAGGTGTTTACTAGCTAGTTTCTGCTAGTTTGCGTTTCTTGACTTTTTCTATATTTCACTCGCTGTGAGCGTAATTCTGTAATTCTTCCCATTCTTCTTCCTGATAATGATCTGCTAGGAAAGTAAAGAAACAAAGCTAGTGTGTGTACATAATACACTGTCTGTGTTAATATGAGCTTATTATATATACCGCAAGTAGAGCTGCTATCAGTGTTGCCGTTTTGATAAATTGGTAGTTTCATTTCAGGGCTGTTCGAAATGTCAAAAATGCATTGAGCTGTTGTTGCATAGTATTCGATTATTAGAACATTTGTAAAAATTTTAAATAAATTTTGTCGAATGGCGGTAATACAATGGTGATGTGAAAGTAGAAAAGCGTACTGAAAGCGTGCTAAAATGGCCTAAAAGTCGTACCGAAATATTAAGATTATGTTGCTGATATTCCGTAATTTTATTGCATCATGGTTAAATGAAAACAAATAAATAAAAATAAAATTGCGCGAGCACAGTAATAAATTTTTTTTGTTACCAAATATAAAATGTTTATATCGATTGTATTTTTTTTACATTTTAGATATAAAATTATTGATATAAATTGAATTAATCTCAAAGATTCATACTTTTGCATGAAGTAAAATCAGAAACGATACAAAATATCAATATCTGATGATTAAAAAAATTGGTAGTTTGGAAACTGATTTGGTAGGATTTTTTGTTCCTAAAAATATTGTCGAGTGGTAACACTGGTTGGTATATTTAATACACCAGTGGTGAAATATGCATCAATAAGGCACCCCTACACGCTTAAAGTTTGTTTGGGTACTAATGATTCAACATCATGCCTTCACAAATGCAGCTATAAGTTGCATAGTATATATGAGTACGAACAACAGCGAGAATTTTTTCTACATAACATAGGCGAGCGCTGATTTGATTTCTTCTTTTCGTACGCGAACGTTAACAAAACATGTTGAAATGTATACGTTCGCGTTTGCGTTCGAAGAATGGACGTGTGGTAGGCGCTTTATAAATATAAACATTCTCTGGTGTAACGCTATTACTCTAGGTTGTGAACTTAGCCTTATTTTTATAATACTTTTAAAATATGGTCGTCGTTGAAAACTTACACAGATTCTTGAGTTTGGTACAAACATATTTACCAAGCCAAGAACGGTGTATTTATTTTGCCCCAGACACAATTCAGTTTGAGAATTTGGTATAAAAAATGTTTCTTGCCAAA